CATAAACTTTTGGTCAATGATAATTTCGAGCTTGCAGTGTAATCATAAACTACAATTTTTTTTTGTACTAAGAAAATTTTGATAAATTTTAAATGTAGTGAAGCATAAGTCTCCACCTCTTTGGTTACTATTTCTGTTTTCTGCGATAATTTGGTGCAATCTTCTAAGCAACCTTTTGCCGGCATCTTTAATGGATCAACCGATAGACTACCAACTGTAGTGTTTCCGTTGATTTTAAATTGCTTTTCTGCTTTATTAAACTCACCTCAAAAGTTTAGAAAAATCTACATTCTAAGGTTTTTCCGGAATTTAGCAGTTAGCAGGACTTAGTTACTCTTCTTATTTATCTCGCTCCCTCTGCATGCAACAGTCTCCTCTAAAAATTAGGAATAATTTTGAGCACATTCTTGGCCATTAATTCAATAGCTGATAGGCTATCACATATCGATATGCTAGTTACCTCACTTTATCCGATTTACACGTAGTGAATTTCCAATGACTAAAAATACTCGGCGACAATGTATCGTAAGGAGTTATTAAGCAGTGACTAAGCAGACGTATCTTAATACGTAAAACAAAGTAATGCGTAGTCTCTAAAACAGTACGATATCCGTGCAAAGCACAAAGCCATTGAACACACAGTTATCTTTACTGTTGTTGATCTAACCTAAATTTTGTTTTGTGTGCCGCATTTTGATGGCGTATCTACATAAATTATAACACATTATCCTGTTGCCTGCCTGTCAGTTATAAGGCCATTATGTTGTTGTCATACTTCGAACACAATACATAAAACGTAAACAAGCGAATCAGGAAGTGAAAATTGTAAAACACGTCGGCAAACTGAGGACTAAGACAAGTCCAGTGCTCTGCGTTCATATCAGTTGTTAGCAAATAAGTTTATGAGGATATAAGGTTCGTAGGACGCGTGACGTTAACCACAAAGCAAGCTACATTCATATATACATACATACATATGTGGACTGCTAAATAGGACGTTCCGTTTAATCCGTCTATTCACATGATTTTGTGTGCATGTCACTTCGAAACCAACACTATACATAACCAACTATATACTAATTTAGTTTTGTACTTACAGTGGCGGTCAAAAGTGGATGAATGATGTTTCGTTTGTAATATTTACAATGTTTTTCAAGCTAGATTTTTTTTATATTTTTTTTTTATATTTTTTTTTATAAAAATGTGGTTCGTAATCGCATTGACTATTAGTATTTTTTTTTTTGCGACGGATTTTGCGTTTTTTTTTCATATAAATAGCGAAATTTAGGAAAACTGGCGTAGAATTTTTTTTATTTTTTCGCAAACGGTTTTGCGCATATTCTTCCACAAGAAATACATGTTTATATGGAAGGAAGTGCAAAACGCCGTCAAAAAAAAATATTAAAAATCAATGCGATTTCTTAGTCGCTCTAAACTGGCACTTGTTTTACTAAAATTGTATAAGCTTGTTAACTGCATACCCAAAAAATTTTTAGAAATGCTAATTAAACAGCTCGAAATTTAGATAAAAATTTTTGGAATTTTTCTAAATTCTGTATAAAGTTTGAAAATGTGATTTATATGGTTTTTGTTAAAGCACGAACCATATTTTTATAAAACATATCAAAAAAATTTTAGCTTGAAAAACATTGCAAGAATCCAAAAACAAAACTCCATTCATCCACTTTTGACCACCACTGTACATATACATATGTATTTGCACCTACATATATTTTTTTAATCTGCTGTAAAGTAGAGTAGTTTGCGAAGCGCTTAAGTGCAACTTGTCATGTGTGTATGTTGAACTGACAACGTCATCACTTTCACTTGACTGTCACTGGCACGAATTGTTTTAGAGCACACGCCCACTACCAGAGAGCACAGCTGCTACCTAAGTACGTGTACGAATGTATATCTACATGCTAGGTGACCTACCACACATACCTGTCATTGCGCTGGCGTTCACCTTGTTTTCTCCTGCTTTCTATTTTAGTTTTGCTTTTTGAACAAAAAAAAACAAAAAAAAAACATAAAAAATAACTAAACCAACTCCTTGTACAGCTTGCCTGTGCAATGCGAGAATAGAATAGCCGTCAGCAAGTGCATACACAAACACACAGTCATGCATATATGTATGTATAGTTGTCGCATAAAAATGCCTAACCAAGTCCATTGTGGTGCGCACCCCGCTTTTCCTGCCTTTTTCATAGCATTGCAATAATTTTATTGTGTCAACAAGCCATCCTCAACACCCGTCAGCGGCAGTAACGGCGCGTCCAGGCAGGTTGCAATACGTGCCTCATTCCCAGTGCTGCCCATTATCATCAACATTTCAGCGCTCATTTATTTAGCCGGTCGTCGGCGCCATATAGAACACAGGCCAAGTCCATGAATAAATACTCAAACAACGCGGGCGTTAAGTTGGCTTTAATGAGGGCTTTCTTCACACGTACACAGTGTGGCAGAAGGAGGGCGGTGGCACAGGGTGGCAACAGGGTGACACTGTTCGGCGATGTGTTTGTTTGTATTGGACTTGGGTGAAGTAAAGATGTGTATGTATATGTTTGGCGATTAAAAGTTTTATCCACTGAAGTCACTTGGCCTCATTCCGATTGAGCCTTACGCTTTGCCAAAGCGAATTCTTTCTTTCTTTGCATATTGGTTGTACTTATGTTTGATTGAATGGATTTGTATGTTTATATTTACACATATAAATTTCTACATATTTACTTACGAGTGTATTATACATATGTATACAATTGAATTATAGCTTATACCTTTTATTCACAACCGAGAATAATTAATCATTGGGTTTAGAAAAGATATTTTGTTTGAGTTTACTTAAGGTCACAAAGATCTATGGCAAGTAAATAAATTCAAATTTAACTGACACATTTTTGCTGAGTGTTTGGCCGAGCTCGTTCTACAATTTGTGGACATACTTATATACTTAATACTTTATAATACATATGTATGTCTCTCTGATTAATTCACAATCACCCTAATACATATGAGCCCCGGCCATCGAGGAATACGTATGTATATGAGACAGCGCCTTAACTATGTAGAGCTAGCGAGGTGCGGCCCAGCACTAAGTTTATACCACGTGGCGGGCTTCGGTGTCTCGATAAGCAAAATTAAAAGCAGAATTACCGAAATTTACCACTCAAAAGCCAAGCAGGTTCTGTCACATTTGCAAGGACTCGGGCTCGAATGAAATATTTCAGCTTTTTCTCTGGGAATATCCGCCCCTGCATGCAGCTTTGTAGCCCATTAAATTCTAGTACAATAAAGTACAAGTTTGAAGAGGCTAAATGTTCGCGTTGGTTTTTAGTAGTTTTTTTTTCCGACGGTGTTATTATTTTCTTCCATACAAAAAAAAAATTGTCGAGTGTTTTTGTATAAGGTTAGAAATTTGAGTTTACATGACTTTTGTTAGACATATCACTTTATCTCGGAGTATACAATAGGTACACATAGTATCAGGAGTTCCTTTATTTTACTGAAGAACTGTAAAAAAAAAAATCACTAATACGCGTACTCTAAAAAATAATTTTTTTAAATGGAGATACTGCGAAACGGATTTTTTTTGCAGCAATATAAAGTTTTTTATCCGAAAAAAGATACGTGCGCTATATATATATATATTTACTTTACGAAAAATATGAATTTTCTTTCAGAATTGCTATAAATTGTTAAAAATATATATTTTTTGTCAAAGAAATTGTATCAGAACCCTCCAAAAAATTTAATTATGATTTGAGGTTAAATTGAATTACAATTTTTTTTACGATTTCTGAAGGAAAATAATTTATTCAATTCATAAATATTTGTTTTTATTGATTTTATCGCAATGCTACGAAAAAAACCAAAAAAAAAATACCGGTTTCTTTTTTTCTATTTAAATATTATAATACTGGAAGCAAGAATATCCCACCAATTTTTATTTTCCTGTGTATTTCTGGACCAACCTAATATACATATGTATATGTAAGTGTAATAAAATGTTGTTGGTACGCAAATATCGCCGTAATGATCCATGGCAACGTACTTTTTTTCTGTGCTGGTATCTGTAGGAGGGTACGAAATGCTTACAAAATATTATTATGTTGATGGTATAAAATGAACGACCCAATCAAAAAGCACTATTTTTCAGTGTTTATCGCATTTACTTTCACCTGCACTGCCATTGCTATTACAGTTTATCGCTATTGTTGGCGTTTATTATTTTTGTGTGTGTGTGCTTTTTTGCGGTTTGTACTTTGGCTTTGGACCCTTCGGTTTTTCCGTCTACCATGCAGCTTGCATATTGACCTCATAACCTCGGCCGATTGTACAGAAACCCTTAAAGCGCCCCTACTAGCGATGCCTGCAGCTATTTTGGCTTCCAGCGCGTTGTTTAGTAGATCACAGCCACTTGGACGCCTGCGAACGTTCACTTGCCCAATTTATTAGTTCCGATGCTGTTTTTTTTTTGCTTTTTTCCCCAGTTGATACTTGTATGCCAATACATATGTACATATGTATACGGTTTGTTTGTATGTAAATAGTAGTATGTGCAGCAACTCAGGCATTGCTCGATTTGGTTAGTTAGGCAGCAGCAGGGTCGTCGGAAGGCTGTCGGCCATTAGCCTCACACATAATGAATGACGCATTGATCCAATTACTTGCAAAATTTTGTAGAAAATTTTTTTGACTCGCGTTCAACCAAACCGACATACATACAAAATTGCGTGTAAAGTTCCGTTGGTTTTCATTCGCAGCAGCGTACGTGCGACTAAAGGACCTCGAAATAGTTGAAAGGACGTGGCGCGTATTCGGGAGTGCTGTTTGCCGCGGGTGGAATGCGGATCAGCGAACCGTGTCGCAGTACGCGCATCAATAAATAATCAGCTCTTAAAGTGAATGACTTCGTTAAAGTTTTAATAGAGTGAATTTAAAAAGGAACGAACTCCATTAAAATTTTCTTTGTGTATCTTTTCTGCAACAATCCACTTTAGAATCTTTTCAAATCAAACGATGAACTTAGAAACATGCAAACTGAAAAGAAATGCACACGTACATACGTCTATGTATGCACATAAGGCCGGAAAGGCGCATGCTATGTCAGTAAGTCAAAGTCAGAGTAGGCGTACACTCATAAAAAGGAATTAAGGACGGTTCTATGCAAGGCGACCAAAAAGAGGAGGAGGAGGAGAATGTCAAGCTGTAGAAAGGCTGGTAAAAAGTTCGTCTTGCATTATTAAAATTCCTTTGCTGCGCAGTCGAGAAGAAAACATGACACAAATTGCAAAACTCAGCCCCCACAAAAGCAAGCAAAACCAACCAAAAAAAAAAAGTAAAAAATCAGCAACGCCAACAACAAACAAAAACCAACAACAGCAGTAGCTGTAACAAAATCAGCTTTTAAACTCAGCAACCAAAAAATACTAAACTTAAGCACGCCAACTTGAAAGCTCACACAAATACAAATAAAAATAAAAAAAGCAGTGCATCCCGGAGAAGACCTCGCCGCTTTAAAGCGTTTTCAATATACTACAAACATACATACATACAACACTCGCTTAGTAAGTGACTGCCAGCTTGAATGGAGAAGGACCTTTACAATCGTTCTTGCGATTTATGTTAAGGACAAGTGGCGCCATTTGCACAGTGCCCCCCATCCGTCAAGCTTCAACCGGCACAACAACGCGCATAGCCGCTTGTGTGGAAGGACAGCCGCAGCCACAGCCACAGCCACAAAAGCGGCAAGGCGGTACAAGCGGTTTGTAAACAGACGCAACCGCAACGATTAACAAAGATTCTTCGAAGCATTCCTCGCTTGCCCGCGTTGCAGAGAACTCATGCACGCCGCCCCCATCCAATCAACAGCAGAGCGCGCAGTGAGTCTACGTCAGCAGCATAAAATAGTGCCGTAGGTGTTTGGCTGCTGCTGCTGCTGCTGCTGCAACGACGCGAGCGCAAGCCTTTCGAGTACTGGAGGGCAGTGAGTGACGTTTATGCGCTCAACTCGGCATGGGCGACCTACAAGCAACAATTGAATTTTCCGTTGAGCTCTACAAATTCTTCAATGTTGACTTATTTCAACGAGGGTAAGTTCAAGATGCTCTTATTTTCATACTCATTCTATTTCGCATTCCCATTAGCATTCATTCCGTATGTATGTATTTATGTAGTATGTACATATATAGAGAGCTGTATGAGGTGATGAGCGGGGTAAGCAGTTGACAGCAAAGTGCCACTGTCACATTTAAGTATTCACAATTCGCATTGCGTTAGTCAACTTGACATTAACATTTACGCATATTAATTCCATTGTGTATAACTGCGATTTACATACATACATACATATCTTTTGTTAATATCTACATACATATGTAGGCATGGCATGAGTGACATGAGTATTCGCATGATATGATGAAAAGGCTGCAGCACTTGAAAGCAAACTGATTTATAAATATGTAGTAGCGCTCGACATTCTTTCATCCGAATTTAAGTGTTTGGAAAATTTATTTTCCATTTGCGATTTCTTTTGCATTAAAAGGAATGCAAGAGGCATTTGTACCCCAAAGTGTGCAAACTAAAGCGAAAGATTAGCATAAAGAAGGTGGTAAACTTATTTATGTACTTAATTCCTATTAGAGCAGAGGAATTTTTCAGCAAACCTACTTTTATGAAAGAGTGATGTTAAGCAAAGTTCGATTTCCCTTATGGGACTTAAAGCTGATAAGGTGGCAAAAGGCATTGTTAAGGAACAGAATCGATTTTTAATTACATTAAAAAATTAACTACCGCATTAAATTGGGTGGGGCTAAAGAAAAAAAAAACCTTTGTGATGGTTTATTATGGAATTAATATAAACTTTAAACGTCTATGATTTCCAGTGTTACCATTATGAAATGTTGATTATAAATCGTAACTAAGTTTTCTAACAATAACTAAAAACAATTTCTAAAATTTGATATTTTCATAATATTTTCTTTAATAAATTTTATAACCTTTAGTTTAAAAAACAATAATACACAATTTATTATGTATATTTTTTAAAATATTGTAAGACCACTTTTAGCAACATTTATTTTTGAATTTCACATGAAAAAGTGAAAAAGTATTCGCCGCCAAAATGTGTTATGTATCAAAGACTTGCGTCAAAGAAAATCAAAGAAAAAGCAGCGCGTAAGCCGCTTGTGGCAGAGCCTTAATTGGTTCCATAATTATGGCATGAAATTCAGCTTTTTGTCTTTGCAACATGCTTACGTGGTATTTAAAATAAACCCATAGAAAAAATATTTTAAACAACAAGATTAATAAACCAAAATCTCAATGTTGGCTATAGGCAACAACGGGCATGAAAGGGTTAAGTCTCAAACAAAAATGTTATTAATATCAGTATCATCATCTGTTCGTTCTTACAATTTCGAATTTAAATCTCAAAATTATGTCCACATATCGTCGCTACCATGTCAAACTAGCGAATGTTAAGGAGGAGGCTATACATAACTGTGGACCACGTTAACCGATTTCTTAAATTATTTTTGTTTAAGGAAATATGGGGCATCAGAGGTTGTCCCATATTAGTACTTAGAAGAAACTGTCGAACTTAGTGTGCTTAATGTCTCTAAAAACAAAATGGCGCGCCTAGGCATACAGTTTTTTTACTTTATTTAATAAACAAAAAAATTATCTATATTCCAGTACTAAAACTAAGTCTAGACAAGCCAACAAAAATACCAATATTTAAAAATTTTATTAAAAATATATATCAAAATGGGTCGATTTTAAATTTTCTAAAAGAATGCCATATTAAAATCAATTCATTCAAATTTAGTTTTAAATAATAGAACTTACCTTCTTTTTCCATGCCCAAGAGGTTTTTTGTTGAAATAGGTCTTCACTAAAACACAACTACCCAAGAAACAAGTCGAACGATTGAACGGGGAGAGAACAAAAAAAAGCGAACACAACGTTGACTGTTTTCATGTGGACGTATGTCAAAGGGAAAGCAGCGGGTAAAATTTTAATGGCTGCCTTTCAATAGATCGGTTATTTAATTTTAGAAAAATTATGTTTAACTCAACTGTTGCCAAAGTTGATATATTTGACTTTTGACCGGATTTTTCAGCTAAATACTCTTATGTGCATCGGTCAGACTTTTGAATAAATGTGTCACAAAGCAGCATAACCATTTTTATTATGCGTAAATAATATCGGAGGAGAATTAAGTTAAAATTAAATTTTTATGAAGACAGCATGATAAAAATCTCTGCTCAAGGCATATCGACGCATCCAAACCATACTCTGCCAAGTCTGTCTAAGTCTAAGTTGACTTAGCATGGTAAGAATTTCAATAAATCTAAAATTAATCGATTTAAGAAACCATCAACATTTATCGTTTTTCAACAAAGCTTCACAAAATATTGTACAAGCATACATTTTTGTTATTTGGTCACTCTTCCGTTGCAGTTTTCAATTTTCCTATTAACTACCAAGTGAGTACTTTAAACTAACAACAATAGAAATTATATCTGTTGAGGATATGACGAAAAATGTTAAAAGGCGATCCCTACGTTTGTCAGAAAAAAAAAATGTTCTCGAATTGCCTTTGCAAAAATGCTTTAGACTCAGGTCTAATGTACATACGTATGAATGCATTTTCATATGTATATCTTTACGGATGTACTCGTATGTAGATGTCTGATTTATATACGTAACTACATACATATGTACATAAAAAATATATTTTTAGCTTTCCACATGTTATTTCACATGGTTATTATAGGGTGGTGAAAGCAAACAGCTTTAAATAAAACCACAAGCAATTAATCTGTGCGCAATTTGATAGAGTTCGCAATTGATATTAACTGTATATAGGTATTTTTGTGGCATCTGACTTTGGGAATAATTCTGTGAAATAGACATTTTAGGACATAAAACAAACTACGCTCAAACGCCTTGTATACATACATACATATGTACATATGTATAGCGTGCGGGCATATATTGATTGAGACCCAGTGTAATTTATTTTTATTCATAACTAGATAAACTTTACTAACACAAGTCAATTGTATTAGAAATTGTTTGCGTTCTTAAACTATCTTGGAATTTAACATGCAATCAAATGAATGTACATTAGGGTGGCCCACAACAATGCATGTGAAAAAGTGAAGTCGGACTTTTTATGCTCCCACCCGCTGGGATTGTTCTATACCGTAAAAAATATACCCTTATTTTTTTATTTTGAAATCAAAAGATATTTAGAGGTCGCTCAAATCGCCTAAAGTTTTCCATGTATTTCATATGGGGAAAAAACAACTTTTTGTAGAAATGGTATAGAATAGTTAAAAATCAATATTTTTCTACTAGAAAACTCTGTTTATCTGCAGGAGATTCCCAGTTATAATACCCAACTATAATTTATAGGTCCGCCAAAAACCTCGAAAAATGCAATGGGGCGACCAATAAAAAATCGTTAGTTTTAAAAAATGATTAAATAAACAATTGGGTGTTACTATCGAAAAATATTGACTTTCAAGAATTCTATACCATTCCTACGAAAAAATTTATTTTTCCCATATAAAAATACATAGAAAACTTTGAGCGCTTTGAGCGACCTCTAAATATTTTTTGATTTCAAAATGAAAAAATAGGGGTACACTTTTTTCGATATAGAACAATCCTAGGGGGTGAGAGCATTACAATTTACTTTTTTTTACTTTACTGTTTTTGGACCACCCTAATGCACATACTACATATCTAGCGATAGATGTATGTATACTAATTACAAACATTGTATTATTAATTGGCTCACTTTTCGTTACATGCACACAAATCCACTTATACACTTCCATATGGCAATCAATAATTCACAATGTAAACAAGTCAAATGAAGAGGCTTTTCACTAAAACGCAACCTTCACCTCAATCATGGCATGGCTCCTAAAATAAAAGCTTCTAAATTTTGCTTTGAACTTGTATTTACACAACTATTTTTAAAATACTACCACCAGAACATGCGAACTCATCTACTTACTCGTTGATTGCTTGGCTGGCTTGGCTGGCCTAGCAGAAGCCAATGTCATTGAAAATCGCTGACAGCAGTTTTGACATTCCACTGACATCTGTGCATGTTGCGTGCAGTAAATATATCAAATTAAAAATTAATTAAAGCCAACAGGGAAATAAGCGCGCGAAGGCATACACTGTGCACTACTTCGCCGCATGCGCTGCACGCCTCTCCGCTTTTTCCCCCAAGATAGCGAGCATTTTATTTTAGCTCATCGCTTTTGACATTTACGCCGTTGAATACTATGAAAAGCCAAATTAAATGGCATCACACGAATAAACCGTACATTAGTTCTAAACATATGTATGTATGTGCATACATACTATGTACATATTTATAAATATGTATGTAGGTGTCTGCCGTTCCCACACAGCTACTCGCAACACTCCCCGTCATCGCGGCAGTCAAGCACTCAACAAATCAGTTGATCGTTTATGAAAAGCACATGTCAGCTCCAGAAGCCATAACAAATAATTTGGCATTTTCGATTCGCTTGTTTCTTGTTGTTGTATTATTTATTTTTTTTTTTTAGCAGCACGCACTCTTTTCACAATACACATTTCACAGGCTTTCGCGAACATCGGAGTGCATGCGTTGCTCATACGCCATGTACGTCGTCTGCCCATCTGTCTATTTATCTCGTCTCAGCTCAGCTGGCGGGCTGACGACTGTACTACATACATACATACATACATACATATGTAGCTTTAGCTGCCTTGCCACTCTTATTATTCGGTGGAAATTTTCCTGGGTGCTCAAGTGGAATTTGCACAGCTGAATATTTATGCTCAGACGATGTTACGTTGAAGAGATTAAAAATAAATGCATGTTTTCCGCCGCGAAAAGGCCAGAAAAATACGCGCATGGCGGCATTTAAAGAGCTTGCCGAACTGCCAATTGACAAGCGCGCTGTGAATGTAAAATGGGTTGAATAAATGAGCTTTTCGATGAGAACGCACCTGATAACTGCTTGCCCTTCTGTATAAAACTCATCAGCGACTGTTTTAAGCTCTTTTTTGTAAAAATATACTTAACTTATATGTATGTATGTATGTCGTAACGTCTCGGTAAATCATATTCCACATTTATATGAATTTATATCTCTTCCGCAGCCTCTACCAGGTACGTTGCGGCCTGCGTGTCTCACCGCGACTTCCCGTGCAGGTGGAAACCAGTATACCAGACACACCGCAAAACAATTCACATTCGGCAGAAGTGCACACACAAGCGCAGACAGCCACGAACGGTGGCAGCGGTGGTGGTGGTGACAGCAGCGGCGGTGACGGGGGCGGGGGCGAGGGCGAGGGCGATATACTGCAGGAGCAGCGCGACGCCCAGGATACGAATGGCGGCAGCCTATTGTCAGGATCTGCATGCATAATTAACGGCTGCGGTGCATCGCGCATCTTTCAGATTCTCTACAGGAATGAGGAAGTGGCGTTGCGCGATGTCATTCACTTTCGTACACACTTGTTGGGTGAGTTCAAAATTTATATACAAACATATATGTACTTATTGAATAAGTAAAGCTATAGGTAGAAATTAATGTTTTTAAAATTAAATGAAAGCTACATATCTGCTTCGAAATGGTGGTCCACTTAATGGTAGTCACCTAAGAACTAACTTGGCTATGACAGCGGCTTTTCAAAGTGTCTCTAAAGTGAAATGCAATTTATCGAAGGTAAACTTGGACAGCTTGACCAGTTAATAACTCATTCTTTTATTATATTTGTAATTAAAAATACAATTTTTTATGAAAAAAATTAATTTGTCAAGTGGCGCTTAAGCCAAGTTATTTTACTATTATTTAGGCGTTTTGGCTCAAATTGTAGTTAGTTAAGCAACTGAGTGTGGCAGAACAAGCGAAATGTCTTCTCAACTCTGAAACCCCAAGATGCCATCGGCTTCCCTAGTGAATCCAAAAAAAGGACTTTAGTAGGCGAATTCCCAATCCTCAGGATTCAAAACTCACAAATCTTTCTTTATCCCGGACCCGCAAATGCACAAAATTTGTTTTAAAGTCTCATCCTTTTTAAGGCAGAGGCGGCATTCTTACTCTGTGGTCAAGCGATTTTGATCAACTTGAAAGCTTAATCAGCTAGGAAAATTAACACCTAAAATCGGCTCTTTTTAAGAAACTAACATCCTTGTTATCCAAAGAATAACCGAAGATTGCAATCTTTCCAAGGCCCATGCACAGTCAGTTGCTCGTACTTAAGCAAAAATTTACTCACCAGGAAGCGCTGTGTCACGAAGAGCGCATATTTTTGTCCCTCAACCAAATCGTAGCCGAAAGCTCCTTACCTAATCCTTGCCTAAAGTTTCCTTCACGACAGGAAGTTGTTATAAGAGCTGACATGTAGGTCGGATAACAGTCGGCCTGTGACCTGTGAGCAAAACCACCACTTATAGGCAGCTCCATCTACTAAGATTGACAACGAAATATTATCCCTTTTTCTAATGGTGGTCAAGTTAAAAGAGCAGCTTTTGCAAGATATGGATTGTATTTAGAATTGGTCCAAAAACAGCATTTTTATGGTGCATCTACTTGCTACGGTGACTAAGTGAGGCAAATAAAAGCCACTGAATAACACAAGTTCTAGCAAAAGCCTTAAGGTCTGATTATGGCCACTTAACATACCTTAGAGGCAGTAGATCGCACACATGACTTGAGAAAAATCTGTAAACTTTAAAATATAAAATAACGGTATTCGCGGTGATTCTTCACATTGCCAAGAGTGTGTAATATGTATTAACATTAGACTGCATCGCCATAAAAAGCTGCGATTTTTCCACCGGGATTACAAGATTATTTGAATTTGATATTTGAAGGCGTCCACCAAAATATTCCGCAAGAGTATTAAGATTTACGTGAGCTGGATTGATACCTTCAAGAAAAAAGAGTTTTTTATGAATAAAAATACTTTCTTAAAGAATTGTTTTTTGTTATTTTTTTGGCCATTTAACAATTATATTCAACAATTTTATAATGAGCTCGAGGCCATTTTTTTTTTTTTTTAAATGAAAAATTTATTGTGGAAAAGCAACAACAATTTGAAAAAATGGTAGAAGTGATAGCTATTTCGGAAATCACCACATTTCCTCATCAGACTTCTTTCAGTAGGATTCGAACCTACGATCCCACTGACTCAGCCAGTTGCCCATGCACCGCGCTAAGACGCCTTGTAAATTATCGCTATCCGAAATAGCTATCACTTCTACCATTTTTTCATATTGTTGTTGCTTTTCCACAATAAATTTTTCATTTAAAAAAAAAATAAAAAATGGCCTCGAGCTCATTATAAAATTGTTGAATATAATTGTTAAATGGCCAAAAAAATAACAAAAAACAAATAACTTAAGGACGAGCACACCTAAAAGTTAAGCATTCTAAAAATAGAATTATTAGCACAAACCAACAAAACCAACAACCACATGATCAAGTGAATTGCAGCGGAATAGCTGCGCTTGATTGTGTTGGCATAACAAAAAATGAAAAATAGTGGAAATAAGCAAAACGATAATTTACAAGGCGTCTTAGCGCGGTGCATGGGCAACTGGCTGAGTCTGTGGGATCGTCGGTTCGAATCCTACTGAAAGAAGTCTGATGAGGAAATGTGGTGATTTCCGAAATAGCTATCACTTCTACCATTTTTTCAAATTGTTGTTGCTTTTCCACAATAAATTTTTCATTTAAAAAAAAAAAAATGGCCTCGAGCTCATTATAAAATTGTTGAATATTCTTAAAGAATTTTTTGAAAAAAATCCTCATAAAAAATTCAACGGAATCGTAATAATAATTAGATTCTTGATGCTGTTTTTTACCTTTTTTCAAAGAATGGTTTAAGAAAAAGTTGAATAACCGATTTAGACTTAAAAGGCATCAGTGGAAAGGTATTTCCTCACCCTTTTTATTTACTTGCAGAAAAACTCATTCACGTACCAATTTCTTTTTTTTTTCAAATATCAACACATCTTAATTCAACTTGGAATTACGCTCATTTCCAATGATACCTCATAAGTCTAAATCGGTAAAGTTTTGGCAGAGTTATACAAGTTCTTCTTACGCCAATCTTTGAAAAAAGTTCAGATTGCATAGAAAATTTATTTAAATGTATTTATGCAAATTTTTTAAGCTTAAACTGTTTTGTCATCTGAGGTGGCTTTTGCAAAAAATTCTTTAAGAAACTGTTTTTATTCACTTAATTTTTTGAGGTATTTTCAAATCACTCTAGCTCACGTAAATTTTAATATTTTTCCGAAATATTTAGGCGAAAGTCTTAAAATATAATATACTTCTGTGTTCGTATGGAATAGTAGCTTATGTCGAAAGGCTGGCTTTACTATAATGCGGCATTCGCAGCATACGATTGCGAATGACTCGCTGGCGCCGAGCCGTTGAACAACTTTTGGCAAATAAACGTGCAAGAAATATTTCCGATACTAGCAAGTCAATATTCTTAATTAATCTCATCAAAAAATTCCTTGTCGTTTAAAGAATAAACAGTATGCCGCAGTATACTAAAGCAAGCTTTCCGACATAAGCTACTATTCCATACGAACACAGACTTTATAATTCCAATGGGAAAACAGTACCGATTTTTTTTTGTTGTATGGGGAGTGATGCAGTCTAATGTAGTACATACATATGTGTATGTATGTAAGTCTAAATGCACATCTATATATATATATATATATATATAAGTATATACCCATTTGTATTTGATTGAATTAAAGTAATGCCAAAAGCGCCCCATGTGCTGGCACAATATTCGATTCATCATGCTTCCTGTGCCGTTCCGCTGAAGCGTGCAGGCGCTAGACAGCGTTTCGCAATGCGTGCCAACTGCCGGATTATTGAAATTACTGCGCTTGCCATTCGACTTCGGCCGACATCACTGCAGGCTGCAGCAGCGTAACGCAACCAACGAGGCATATGCAAGCGATTTTCCTTGACTTGAAGTAAAACTAAAAAAAAAAAATAAAAGTGAAAAGCAACAGCAAAAACAAAAGCAAGCGATAGATGTCAGAGCAGAGTGCAGCAAAAATAGAGTTAATGAGCAAAGTACGTATATTTTTGGCATAACGAAAAGTTCCTTTTAAATGCTTCATTGGAAAGTTTTTTGTTTTTTTTTTTTTTGACACAAAGTGCTTAAGTAATTTTTAAGTACTGCAGTCAGAATTAACAAATGAGAGTGCTCTCTAATCAAAACTGAATTACAAGTTTGCACAAGATTAGTTCTTAGGATTTGATTAAGCCCAATGGCTGACAGCTACTGGGGTACTAAAAATATTTCAAAGTGCATACAAACATAAATGCATACATATTTCACATTTTTAAATATATTTTTCCACTGTAAAAATCTATCTCTAATAAAATACTATTAAAAGTCAAGAGCCAAAAATTTAGTTAGCTACAACAATTTAATATCACATAAAAAACATTCGTCAGAATTGCTCTCGGTCTCATAATCGTATTTCTTGCACACACTCGCATAAGTATGTACAAATGCTTGGGAGTACTTTGTTTATGAATTTTATAGGGTAATAAAATATTAATGTTCGCTTCCTCGGCTTTTTCTCTTTACGATAATATATGTAAGTATGTAAGTATGTGCATACGAGTGTAGGGTATTCAATATTTGTACATACATATATGTATATTGGAGAAAGAGCGGTAAAGTATTCAGAAAATCGTTCCTTAATCAAGTGCTTCGTTTAAATTTGTGCAAAATATGATTTAATGCAAGGTCGTTCTGTATGAAGCACTGAATGATACTTTAGCTGTTAGCAGTTTTATGTGTTCAATGTTAAGTGGCGGCATAAACAGTCTTAGAATTATTGCTTATACTTATGAATTTACAAGAGCTAAGAAATACATATGTATAGGAGATGTAGGAAATATCTAAAAACTTGTTTTATATAAAAGTTTTTGATTTTTATTTTGTGTGTTTCACCCAACCTGGGCGACAATGTTTACATAAATACTTGTACATGTGTTCGTATAATCTCTTCACGAGCCAAAAAATATTTTGTTAATTTCACGCTCCGGCCAACAAGTTGCGGTAAATTTTAATAGCTACTTGTGTTGTACATGTGTAGCAGTAGAGAACCATGCTGAAAGATATGAGGATAGCCTGACAAAGCGATCGTTAAGCAAAGTATACACTTCATCATTGTAGCCGAACTAATTCAAAGCGGCTGCAGAGTGAAACAGTTGGTGTTCGGCTTACTGAATTCTGGGCCATTGTTTTGCTGTACTGGGTAGCAAAATGCCTTTAAATTATACAGGCTTTCATTAACCGGAAGTAAATTTTTTTATGTGACACATGTGCTTGCTTTTACCGCAGGTTCGGATTCTGTGGATAAAAATACGTTATTTTTGGAATAGACTTCCGGAAGACTTTTTGGAAGTCGTATATACGACCAAACGATAGAGCCTCCGCCACATGATAATTAGCACTTAAAATAAGCACT